ACCAAAACTGAACACCATACTCCAAGTGCAGCTTCACCAACATCCTGTACAGCTGCAACATAACTTCCCAACTTCTATACTCAGTGCCCTGACTGATGAAGGCCAGTGTGCCAAAAGCCTTCTTCACTGCCCTGTCTACCTGTGATTCCACTTTCAGAGAACCGTGCACCTGAACTCCAAGGTCCCTCTGTTCCATTACATTCTTTAAGGCCCTACTATTCACCATGAAAATCCTACCTTGATTTGACTTTCCAAAATGCAACACCTCACACTTATCTATATTAAACTCTATTTGCCATTTCTTGGCCCACTTCCCTAGTTGATCAAAATCCTGCTGTAATTTCTGATAACCTTCATCACTGTCCATGATACCACCTATTTTAGTGTCTCGCTAATCATGCCTGTACATTCTCATCCAAATCATTGATACGGATAACAAACAGCAATGGGCCCAGCACCGACCCCTGAGGCACACCACTAGTCACAGGCTTCCAGGCTGACAAGCATCCTTCCACTATATCTCTCTGCTTCCTACCATCAAGTCAATTGTGTATCTAATCTGCCAGCTCTCTGTGGATTCCATGCGATCTAACCTTCCAGAGGAGCCTACCATGTGGAGCCTTATCAAAGACCTTACTGAAACCCATATAGAATATGTCTACCACCCTGCCCTCATCAACCTTCCTGGTCACTTCATCAAAGAACCCTAACAAATTTGTGAGGCATGATCTCCCTTGCACGAAGCCATGATGACTACTCCTAATCAAACCCTGTCTTTCCAAATGTGTGTATATCTTATTTCTCGGAATCTTCTCAAGTAACTTACTAGTCTACAATTCCCAGGTTTTTCTTTGCAGCCCTTCTTGAATTAGGGCACAACATTTGATATGCTCCAGTTTTCTGGGAACTCACCCGTGGCTAATGATAATCCAAATATATCAGCCAGGGCCCCAGCAATTTCTTCTGTAGCCTCTTGCAGGGTTCTTAGATATATCTGGTCAGGACCAGGAGATTTATCCACCTTCATACAGTCTAATACTTCCAACACCACCTCTACTGTGATATGTACTGTCCCCAAGATATCGCCTCTAACTTCCCCAACTTCCCAAGTCTTCATGTCTTTCTCCACAGTAAACATAGAGGAGAAATATTCATTGAGGACCTTGCCCATCTCCACTTTGGATCCTCAGGGATCCTAGTCTCTCTCTAGTTATTCTTTCTCCATTAACATACTTAAAGAATCTCTTTGGATTCACCCTAATCTTCTCAGCCAAAGCTAACACATGCCCCCTTTTCGCCCTACTATATCCTCCTTCAGTAAACTCCTGTATCCCCTGTATACCTTCAGGGATTCCCTTGATCCCAGCTGCCTGTACCTGAGCCATGCCTCCTTTTTTCTGGTCAAAGCTTCAATCTCTCTTGTCATCTAGAGTTCCCTACTCCTGCCAACCAAACCCTTCACCCTCACAGTAATATGTTGACCTTGAAATCTAGCTATCACACTTTTAAAGACCTCCCACTTGCCAGAGGTCCCTTTGCCTGCAAACAAACTATTCCAATCAACCCCTGCAAACTCCTGTGTAATTCTGTCAAAATTTGCCTTGCGTCAATTTAGAACTTGAAGTTGTGGACCCATTTAGCCCTACTCCATAACTATTTTAAAATTAATAGAACTATGGTTACTGGTCCAAAAGTGCTTCCGTACCATCACCTGTCCTGCCTGATTTCCCAAGAGCAGTTCATGTTTTGCCCCTTCCCAAGTAGGATCCTTTCCATACTGCTTCAGAAAACTTTCCTGAACATATTTAACATATTCCACCCTATCTAAGCCCTTAACACTCTGGCAGTCCAAGTCTATGTTAGGAAAATTAAAATCCCCCACTATCACAGCCCTATTGCTCCTGCATGTCTCCACAATCTCCCTGCATATTTGTTCCTCTAATTCCCGTTGATTATTTGGGGACCTATAGTACAACTCCAATAACGTTACCATCCACTTTTTATATCTTAGCTCCACCCACAAACCTGATTGGATGATCCCTCAATTATTTCATCTCTGACTACTGCTGTGATACTCCACTTAATCAAAAATGCAACTGTACTTCCTCTCTTCCCTCTACCTCTGTCCCACCTAAAGCACCTGTACCCTGGCACATTAAGCTGCCAGACCTGTCTGTCCCTTAGCCTTGTTTCTGTAATGGCTATAATATCCTAGCCCCATGTACCTATCTACACCCTGACTTCATCGGCCTTACCTGTCAACCCTCTTGCGTTAAAATAGATGCAATTTAATCCAACATTCATTCCTTGCTCCCTGTCATGTTCCAGTCTGACCTGTCTCTTTAACTTGCTATTTCTAATTACTTATCTCCCTCCAGTCTTGCACTTGCTTCCCTGCTGTTGAGGATCCCACTCCCCTGCCAAATCTAGTTTAAACCCTCCCTTGCATTGCCAGCAAATCTGCCACCAGAATATTGGACCCCTCCAGTTCAGGTGCAATCCATCTCTCTTGAACAGGTCGCGTCTTCCCTGGAAAAGAACCCAATGATCCAGGAATCTGAATCCCTGCCCTGTGAACCAATTTTTTAGCTACACATTTGTCTGCCATAACTTCCTTTTCTTACCCTCACGCACGTGGCACTGGAAATAATCTGGAGATTACTACCATCAAGGTCCTGGTTTTTAACTTTTTTCCTATCTCCCTATAATCACTCCACAGGACCTCACCTCTATTTCTATTTATGTCATTTGTGCCAACGTGCACAATGACTTCTGGCTACTCACCTGCCCTGTTGATACCAGGCCCACCAAAATCTGCTCTTCAGTGCAGGTGACTGCTCCCAGACTCAAATGTATGTGCCGAAGTGATGTCTCTCCCTCTCAGTTGCCCTCTGCTGGACGCTCTTCCTCCTGCTGATCATGGGGGCTGTTGCCAGACGACCGCTCTTCAGTGCAGTTCACTGTTCCAGGCTCAAATGTATGCGCCGAAGTGATGCCTCTCCCTCTCAGTCACCCTCTGCTGGACGCAGTTCTATTGTTGGACACATTTTCAAGTCGACAGTGAATGGTGTGACAAGTGTTGAAATTTTTATTTATTTTGCTGAGGTTAAAAGCTTCAATACAGACCAGTTTTTCATAAATGGTGGATCAGTAGCTTCCGTCTTTACTTTCAGCATGTCCGTGAGATGAGCAGAGACCATACAAAGTACGACAAGCTGTTAGAAAAGGGAAGAGGAAATATAATGGATGGTTTATAGGGAGTAGAGATCTGTTGAAGATTAAATTGCCGATGTGCTGTGGTGACCTTAAAGTCTGTTGCATATGGAGTATTGAGAGCCTGGCAACAGTCTAAGCTTCCATGACAAGAAGCTGAGAATAAGTGATATCAGTTTGAACTTCAACAACAAGACTTATTTATGGGCTGCATGCTGCTTTTGTTTCCCTCAAGGTGAGACATTGGCCTCAGGTGCTGCGTCTGCAAGTATGCTGTTGGGGGTAACCACTTATTTCATGTTAGACAGAATGAACTCCAAGCTTCATGCAAAGTGCTTTTAGAAGCTGGTTCTAGACTCTTCTGTGCTTTCTCACATTGAGGGTAGCCTTCCAGGCAGACAACAGTATTTGGGCATCTTTTATTCTTCTGTTGCCTGGCCCATCAATTTCATCATCTGACTCCACTGCAGTGAAATACTGTGCATGGAGAATCCGTAGAGTCCTTACAGCATGGAAGCAGACCATTCGGCCTATCGAGTCTGCACTCACCCTCCTAAGAGCATCACGCCAGGATCCACCCCTTTACCCTATCCCTGTAATAACCTTGCATTTGCCATGGCTAATCCACCTAGCCTGCACATCCCTGGACACTATGGGAAATTGAACATGGCCAATCCACCCTAATCTGCACATCTTTGGACTGTGGGAGGAAACCAGAGCATCTGCAGGAAACCCATGCAGACATGAGACACAGACAGTTGTTCGAACCCTGGCACTGTGAAGCAGCATTGCTAACCACTGGAGCCATCATGCCATCCCATGTGCAGCCTTACCGTTCCAAAAAGCCATCCTCTAGGCTATCTTTCACCCCCATATTGTCTCCTGCACACCTATTATCATGTGCATATCCACCCACCTGCCCACCTCACCACTTTATCCTACCTATTAAGTTACTTGTAGCTTTAATGTCTGACAGCAGCGCTGAAGTTGAGTAACCATGTGTTGTTGTCGTCGTCATTGTCATCATCATCAACACTGCCTTCTTAAGATCAAGGTTTCACATTGTAATGTCAGAAATGCATCAGTCACTTTGTGCACACTTTGTACCCATAAAAGGCAACGTGTTAATGACCAGATAATCCATTTTAATGTCGCTGGTTAAGGGATAAGTAATGGTGAGTACACAGGTGATAACTCCCTTGCCCTTTTTTTCAAACAGTGTCTTTTACTTTACATTCACCTGAGAGAGTATACAGGCCCTCTGTTTAATGAGTTATCCCAAAGACCTCAGCAGGCCCTCACTACTACACTGTAGTCACTTAGATTTTGTGCTTAAGTCTGTTTGGCACATGAATTCATAACTTTGATTGATGCATTAAACCTGTATAGTATCAAAATAATGCTGATCCTCTTTTTGCACTGTTTAAAACTATGTTTAAATTTTTAATTTTGTGAACTGACTCATATTAAAAAAAAGCTGATTCAAGTGTGTATTCCAACCACACTCAGCAGCAGTGCTGGGTCTCACTGAGATGTTAGATTCTCTCTCTCTCCTTCAAACCCAGATTTTCATCATGGACATCACAGTGTGCACATTTGTAATTTGATTTGAGGTTAACAATAAGTACCATTAATATGCTGTGGAACTGCAAAATGTCAGCCAATATGTCATATGTCAGGCATGTGGGACTAGATAAGTTTGGGATCATGGTTGGCGTGGACTAGTTGGACCAAAGGGTCTGTTTCCATGCTGTATGACTTTAAATCTAAAATCTTTTCCTTTGCAGCTGTACCCAAAGGGAAACATGATTACTGTAGGGTTTGAAGATGGTGTCATCAGGATCTTGGAAATCTATAACCCGAAAAGCCTTGCGCATGTTGCTGGCCGATCAAAAGTTGGTGAGATTGAATTTCGACTAAAACAGGCCTTGAAGCCACACACAGCGGCTGTCACTGCTATTGCTTATGAACATAGTGGACAAATGCTTGCAACAGGTGTAAGTATGTCAGATAACACCTTTAAAATGCATTGTTAGTTCCTTTGGACCTGAACTATTCCACCACTCTATCCAACTGCAATTCTATCTAACTTTTCTTTCCCATGTTATCTCCTCTCATGGCCCACTTGTTGTACAGCAGTCAGAATCCTGCTCTTTCATCACAGCTATGCTGTAGAGTGCCTACCCTGTTACTTGCATGGTCTCAGGCAATCATCTTAGCCAGCACAGGACTTCAGACCTCTTCCAGTCTCTACCTGGGCATTTCTTCTGAAATAATTTAAAAATGAAACTCAGATTCTAACTCATGAGATAAGTAGTCACTCCCAACTACCCACATACTGCATGTATACACAATCAAGATTGAAAACTCTTGCTGCTGAGGGGAAGAGAGTCTAATCAAAACTTAAGTTTTTGAAACAGGATGAGGTAAAAATGATCAAAGTACATTAAAAGAAAAACCACATATGCAATCTTGAGATTTTAAAATGTTGTTTAAGCTCTTACATTTGGAATTTATTTGTAAATTGATTTATTGAGGGACAAAATAGATTAAAACTAGCCAAATGAAGGTTGCTTACATTCTTCCTGTTATCATCAAACAGCAATGTGATAATGACCTAATAAACTGTTTTTGTGCTATTGATTGAGGGAAGAATGTTCAACAGACCACTGGGGCTCACTCACCTGCACTTCTTCAAAATAGGACTTTTAAATCCACCTGAGAAGCCAGGTAACGCATCTGTTTAACATTTCATGCAGAAGATGCGGGGTGACACTCCTTCAATATTGTACAGGAGTGCCAACCTGGATTTTTCTGCTCGTGTCTCTTGGAATGGGCCAGATAATGAGCCAGAGACAAGTGTGCTATCTGTTGATCTATGGCTGACGCACCCACAGAATGACAACATTTGCATTCATCTATTAGTAAGACATTCCATGATATTTCATAGAAGAGTTAGCAAAGTACAGTTTCACATTAATGGGAAGATACAATTAACAGCAATAGAGTTGGCATTGCCAAATCTGTGCTGAATTAATATAGAAAATCCATGATTATTTTTGAGACAGGGATTTGGAGTGACAAGGTATGATAATAGCATAATACATATCCTACGGTAATGTTCATAGTCAGTTGAATTATACACTTTCATATGTTTTTAGAATCATACCATAGAATCCTACAGTGTGGAAACAGGCCCTTCAGCCCAACATGTCTACACCAATTCTCAGAGCATCCTACCCAGACCCATCTCCCTATAACCCACCTAATCTACACATCCCTCAACAGTATGGGCAATTTAGCATGGCCAATTCACCTAGCCTGCACATCTTTGGACTGTGGGAGGAAACCGGAGCACCCGGAGGAAACCCACACAGACACGGGGAGAATGTGCAAATTCCACACAGACAGTCGCCTGAGGGTGGAATCAAACCTTGGTCCCTGGCGCTGTGAGGTAGCAGAGCTAACCACTGAGCCGCTAAGGCCATTAAATCCTTTTTGGATGAGTTCAGAGTTTAATTTCCCTTCAAGTTGCAGTTTAGACTATGATCTTATTTACCTTTCCTGAAGTGCGATTGATTGGGCGATGCAAGCATAATCTTTTTACAGTGAATGTATTTCAAATTAAAGCCTTTGTTTCATCCTTTGTTCCTCAATTGTACGTGCAGTGTGATAGATGAGAAATATTCTTCATAGACTGGATTTTGTGATCCCCACTGACGAGTTTGAAGGGAAGCTGCCTTCCCGTTGCCTATCCACCTGCCTCTGATTGGTCTGAAATCTTACGGAGGCTAAGGGAGGCAATCGGCAGCCCGTCCTTCCTTGGGCCTGTTGACCCTCTTAAATGACCAATTGATTTGAATTTGAGGACCTCAGCCTTAGCTACTGCTGGTATTTTCCTTATGCCAGATAAACCCACACCATCTGGGAAACCAGGCACCTTCAGAGTTGTGTTTGTATCCTTAAAGAGGCACATGGGAGGCAATGTTCTAAGGTCATCTTACACTTTAGTGCTGCCTGTTTGGTCCTCTTGAATTCAGCATCCTCACCCTATATCCTGCCCTTGCTGAGATCCCAACTGCAGCCTTAACTGTGCTCATTGGCATGTTAGGATTGCCTGACTTACCAGCAGTTGTCAGTGTTGCCTCTGCTCCTATGGGACCAGAAGGGTCACCTAACCCAAAATGTTAATTCTGATTTTTCTTCATAGATGCTGCCACACCTGCTGACCTTTTGCAGTAATTTATGTTTTTGTTGTTGCATTAAACCAATTAACATTGCTTCAGTTCAATTTGCTGTGGGCAGCCATTGGAATCACAGATGAGCTCTCAACATTTTAGCTGTGCAATGGATTGTGGTGCCTTGTAAGTAATTGCTACTAAGTGTAGTAATTTAAAATGAGTGTGTTCCAAGTTACAATATTTCTTCTTCCCTTAGAGCACAGACAACACAGTGTTTTTCCTTCTAACTGGGAATAAATATACACCAGTGGGATTCATCAAGGTACCAGGACCAGTTGTGAGCTTGGAGTGGTCTCCGCCTACTCGTGTATGTACTTTGCAACATTCTTTTATGGAGTGAAATGAAAAATTAATTTTATGTGGCATTGCTGAAAACTTTCTTTACCTATAATTTCCAATGTATCAAACGGGATTATCCAGTTTATGCAAATAAGACACAAGGGCAATATTGTATTTTTTTTTAATATATCCAGATTGCTGTGAGGTTTTAGTACCACGCTACAGTAAAACACCTGACTCAATCAATTAGAGAGTGCTACGGAAGATCCTGTCAAAGGCTGGCTGTCCAGAGAAATTCATCAACATCCTACATCTCCTCCAACGGTTCTCACCGATGGTAACATGACCTTTGAGGTCAAGACTGAAGTTGAGCAGGGTTGTGTCAAAGCACCCACCCTTTTCCCCATCTTCTTTATCACCATTCTTCATCTTTTAAAGAACAGTCTTCCCAGTGGGATGAACATTGTTTCCAGGACGGAAGGAAAACTTTTCAACCGCAACTGGTTGAAATTTGAGAAAAAAAAACAACACTGACCTCGCTTGTGGAACCTGAGTGTGCAGATGGCCATGTCATTCTCTGCTGTTTCGGAAGAGAATCTTCAAACCTTGCTTAGTGTTTTCACGGAACCATATCAAAGAATTGGTCTCAGCCTCAACCTCAAGAAGACTCAAATCCTTTACCAACTTGTCCCTGGTCAAGTTCTGGTCCATCTTTCCACTAAGATCAGTGGAAAAATCTTCCCAACTGTGGAAGATTTTCCACACCTTGGAAGCTACTTCTCTTCTAAGGCTGACGACAATGTGGTGATTCAGCATCTCATCTAGTCTGTGAATGTAGCCCTCAGATGTCTAAAGATGAGAGTCTTCAATTATCTGTGCTGACACCAAGATCCTTGTGGATAAAGCAGTCATTCATATGACTCTTCTATATGGTATCTAAACTTAGACTATATGTAGACACCATCTCAAGACCCTTGAGAAGTACCATCTTGTCTATGAGATAGATTCTCTGCAAGGGCTGGGAGAACAGGCATACTATCATCAGTGTCCTTGAAGGAGCCAATAGCACCAGCATCAAGGCCACAATCAACCAAAACCAACTCTGCTGGTCCGACGATGTGCTTAGAATGCCTGAGTTTCAACTGCCAAAGCAAATCATCTTCACCCAGCTCAAGGAAGGCACTTGAATCAGAGGAGGACAAAGGAAGTGTTTCAAAACCGCCATGAAGACTTCTCTTAAAAAATGTAACATGTATGTCAATGCATAAGAGACCCTCATTCAGAAAAATTGACTTGGAGGAAACTCCTGTATGAAGGGACACGATTGTTTGAGAACACCTCGGCAGGAGAATGTATGAAAAAGGAACTGGAAAAAAGAATGTCAATCATCCCAAGGTCACTTCCACCTCCAGAAACGTCTGCCAAACATGCGGTCAGGTATATGGCTCTAGGATCGGGCGCATCAGCCACACAAAGACCCACAGAACCCAGGGCCAGTAACATGGAATTTTCCTAGGTGGGCAGTCATACTCATAAGTGAGTGTACCAACGATGACAGTAAAACAGTTCCTGTACTTGCGTGCATGTCTCTGTGCGTGTGTTTGCGTGCACATTTCTGTGTAATTGGGAATGCATATTTGTATTTATGGACCTTGTGGAGATTTGGAAGGTTTTGAACCATTTGGACACTTTAAGGGTTTGAAGGGAATCCACGTGGTTTCTTGGAAAATGAGGTCAACAGTCTAACATGGGCTATTCTACCTCTGATCATTGAAACTCAAATGTCTTTGGAAAAATAGCCAAGCAAAGCTTTTGTGAGGGGCCAAAATTTGCTTTTGTGAAGGGGGTTATTGCACATAATGACTTGAAAACCTGACTTTCAATGAGACAATGGTGCCTCTGTGCTGATGGCTGCCTAGTAACTGTTTCAGGACTTGATTTCTTTGTCTTCCAAAGATGAAGGTAGGCTGCTAGTCTGAGTTGAAATTCTTGGGAACCTGTCAGTGCTTCCACATCTCAGTATTTTGACTATCTTGTATACACTGGGAAGCTGTACTGTAACACTATCCAAACTGTTACATCCAACCTGATTTTCATTCAAACAGAAGGCTTGTTTGGAAGATCTTCGACTGAACTGAGGTTGCCAGCAATTTAGTATTGTCACCAAGAAAACCGATGAACTGTGAAAATTAATCAAATCCTTTTTTTTTATTTTTTAGACAATTGGCATTAAGCATGTTAATCTTTTGGCTATTTTCAAATATCACCTCTGCAAGGTTTTTGTTGTCTTTTGTGCTGTATGAGTGTATCTTTGTTAATGATAAAAGGGAATATAGTTCTATTCTGGATTGTAGCTTGTTAATCGGTGTTGCCACTTATTTTTAAGAGTGAGTTTGTTTTTTAATAAACGTATGTTTTTGAGCTTGTTAAAGAAGTTTGGTGAATGTCATAAAAACATAAGTGACAGTTAACAGAAAAAAAATGTAATGGTCAAGATTTGTCTAGGGATAGCATAGAACAGTGCTTTCAGATCAGCTGGCTGTTACGTGTAGTACATGATATGGTTAAGTATTTGGATTTGCACATAATTTGGAGCCTATCTTATACTGGCTAGTTTTGCACTACTGTCTGAAATGAATTTCTAGACTGACCTTCTCTGTGCTTTGTGTATGTAAATATCCTACATTATGACAATTCAATGTTATGTTCTTGTTTAATGTTTTCTTTCCTCCTCTATTAGGAGAAAGCCAAGTTACTCATATTTTGTGAAAATGGTTACGTGGTTCAAGCTGCGTATCCAGAATTTAAGGAACTCGATACAACATTAACATTTGAAATTCCCCTTCTGAAGCAGTGTTTTCATTTCAAGAGCATCAGGTCGAGCATTGAGGTAATTTTTGCACCATTAGTTATACCTATTAAGAGCCTGTCAAACTGTCAGAATGGGGCTAATTTGCAAAGAATGTCTCAGTGCACGGGGAAATTGAACAATTTGGCACAAAGAAGGTCATTCAACTCATGTAAGGTGTTACCCTGAGATCTGGCACCTTCCTCTCAGAAATTTAATGTTGCACAAGTTATAATATTCAATGTATTCAATTTTACATTTTATCTATTATCTGTATCCATGGATCCATTTCCAGTTTGCAGTTGTTACGATCTGTCAGGCACAAGTTTGGCACAATAACCAGCTTGTTGGTGAAGAACTAGTTGGGTAGATAAACCAAATGCAATAAATATAAAGCATATGAAGATTGAGAAGGCATTTGGTAACATTGCTCTTAGATAAAACTGCTCTTAGACAAATTATGTTTAGAACATAGAACAGAGTACAGTACAGGCCCTTCAGCCCACGATGTTGTGCCAACCTATTATCCTACTCTAAAATCAAACTACCCTGCATACCCTATATTTTACTATCATCCATGTGCCTATCCAAGAGTTGCCCAAATGTCCCTAATGTATCTTGACTCCACCACCACCGCCGGCAGCGCATTCCATGCACCCACCACTCTCCGTGTAAAGAACCTATTCTTGACATCTCCCCATACCTTCCTCCAATCACCTTAAAATTATGCCCCCTCGTGATAACCGTTTCTGCCCTGTGAAAAGTCTCTGGGTATCCACTCTATCTATGCCTCTCATCATCTTGTACACCTCAGTCAAGTCACCTCTCATCCTTCTTCGTTCCAATGAAAAAAGCCCTCAACCCTTCCTCATAAGACCTGCCCTCCAGTCCAGGCAGCATCCTGGTAAATCTCCTCTGCACCCTCTCTAAAGCTTCCACATTCTTCCGAAAATGAGGTGACCAGAACTTAATACAATATTCCAAGTGTGGTCTAATCAGGGTTTTATAGAGCTGCAACATAAATTCGCGGCTCTTAAACCCACTTCCCCTGCCAATGAAAGCCAACACACCATATGCTTTCTTAACAATCCTATCAACTTGGGTGGAAACTTTAAGAGTTCTATGGACGTGGACCCCAAGATCCCTCCGTTCCTCCACACTGCCAAGAATCCTGCCATTAACCCTGTATTCTGCTTTCAAATTTGACCTTCCAAATGAATCACTTCACACTTTTCTGGGTTGAATTCCATCTGCCACTTCCTTGCCCAGTTCTGTATCCTGTCAATGTCTCGTTGCAACCTACAACAGCCCTCCACAATATCCACAGCTCCACCAACCTTTGTGTCATCGGCAGACTTACTAACCCACCCTTCCACTTCCTCATCCATGTCATTGATAAAGATCACAAAGAGCAGAGATCTAAGGTCATCCGGAAGTTCATTCCACACACGAACTCTGTGTAAAAAAGGTTGCCCCTCCTGTCTTTCTTAAATCTCTCTCATGTCACCTTTTATGTTTTTGTTACAAGAGAAAATAAAAAAAGCATGGATAGAAAGTTGTTTGGCAGGCAGGGATTTCAACAGACAGGGTAAATGAATATTGTTCAGATTAAGGAAAGGTTTACAAGTGACTCATCCCAGCATTGGGAGCTTGGTGGAAGCACTTGCCATGAAAGTGTGTGTTATATTATTGTTATGTGAAACTTGGATTCTGTAGTAGAGCCATAGATTCAAAAAACATGGAAACAGACCCTTCAGTCCAACTTGTCCTTGCCGACCAGATATCCCAATCTGACCTGGTCCCATTTGCATTTAGCCCATATCCCTCTAAACTCTTCCTATTCATGTACCCATCCAGTTGCTTTTTAAATGTTGTAATTGTACCTGCCTCCACCACTTTCTCTGGCAGCTTATTCCATACACGCACCACACTCTGTGTGGAAAAGTTACCCATCAGATCCTTTTTAAAGTCTTTCCCTCTCACCTTCAACCTATGTGTTGTAGTTTTGGACTCTCCTAACCTGGGAAAAAGACCTTGGTTATTCACCCTATCCATGCCCCTCATGATTTTATAAAACTCTGTGAGGTTACCCCTCAGCCTCTGCTGCGGCAGGGTAAAAAAGCCTATTCAGCCTCTCCCTATAATTCAAACCCTTTAGTCCCAGCACCATCCTTGTAAATCTTTTCTGCACCCTCTCAAATTTAACAACTCCTTTCTATAGAAGGATGACCAGAATTTTATGCAGTATTCTAAAAGTGGCCTCACCAATGTCCTGTACAGCAGCAATGCGATGTCCCAGCTCCTAAATTCAATGTTATGACTAATGAATGCAAGTGTGCCAAATACCGCCTTCACCACCCTGTCTACCTGTAACTCCACTTTCAAAGAACTTTCAAGCACCTTCACCTCAAGGTCTCTCAGCTGAGAGGCTGCCTGCCGTGCAGAGCTGTGTACATGAGTAAATACCCAATGAGCATCTGTTTACGCTGCCTTCAGCATTTTGCTGCTGGTAGAGTAGCCGCTATGGGGACTTATAATAATTGGTATCATAGAGGTAGCCTCCCTGCCACAGTCTAAGATAACAGTCTAGGATTTGGGATGACACAGTGGCTCAGTGATTAGCACTGCTGCCTCACAGCACAGGGACCCGTGTTTGATTCCAGCCTTGGGTGACTGCCTGTGTGGAGTCTTCACATTCTCCCCACATCTGCGTGGGTTTTCTCTGGGTGCTCCGATTTCCTCCCACAGTCCAAAGATGTGCAGGTTAGGTAGATTGGCCAATGGAAATGCAGGGTCACAGAGATAGAATAGGTCTGGTTGGATGCTCTTTGGAGGGTCAATGTGGACTCAATGGGCCGAATGGCCTGCTTCCACACTGGAGGGACTCTATGATGATGAACTGAACTAAGCTTCATGGGCTAAAGGAGGAGCCACATCTGTGTGCCAGTGATATTCCTGCCGCCCCCCGCCACCCCATGCCTACCAACCCTTGGTCTTCAGAACTGTTTTTAACTTGGCTCTTGAAAGCTTCAGGTTCCTGTATTCCTCAGCATCGCCCACTTGTCTCACTGGCACTGCTGGGATATTAGATTTGCCTGCCCCTGATTAGTCCAACACCATCAGGAATCTGCCAGCCTTCAGGCACAGAGGCTGTCAATTGTGAGGCTGCCTGTGGTAGAATTGCTAAGCAGATTGAATTGACAGACTCGGCACTGCTTTTTGTCTTGAAATTGGTACCCTGTACAGTTCATCCCACTTCTTTTTAATTCGTTCATTGGCTAGCATTTATTTCCCATCCCTAGCTACCCTGGAGAAGGTGGTGGTGAACTGCCATAGACACGTTAACTGTAAGTACACCCACAATGCTTTCTGGGAGGAAGTTCCAGGATTTTGACCCAGCAATACTGAAGGAATAGCGATGTTTTTCCAGGTCAGGTTGGTGAATGGCTTGGTGGGGAACTTGCAAATCTTTGTATTCACGTATACCCTGCTGCCCCCATCCTTTTAGATGGTATGATTGTGTGATTGGAAGGTCCTATCTAAGGATCTAAGAATTTCTGCAGGTGGTCTATGCTGCTGCTACTGAACAACAGTGGTGGAGAGAGTGAACATCTGTGGATGTGCTGCTAGTCAAGAAGGATTCTTTAACTCAGAAGATGTCAAGCTTGTTGAGTGTTGTTGAAGCTGCATTCATCCAAGCAAGTAGGGAGTAGGCCATCACACTCCTGACTTGTGCCTTGTAGATGGTGGACAAACTTTGGAGAGTCAGAAGCTGAGTTACTCACTTCAGGGTTCCTAGCCTAGCCTTTTGCAACCATAGTATTTATGTAACTAGTCCAGTTGCGTTTCTCGTCAATGGTAACCCCCAGTGTATTGATAGTTGGTAATTCAACGATGGTGATTCCATTGAATGTCAAGGTGCAATGGATAGTTTCTTTCTTGTTAGAGATGGTCATTGCTTGGCATTTGTGTGGTACAAATATTACTTGCCACCAGTTAGCCCAAACCTGGATATTGTCCCAGTTCTGTTGCATTTGGACATGGACTGTTTCTGCATCTGAGGAGTCACGAATGGTGACTTTGAGCAATCATTGGTGAACACCCCAATTCTGACCTTATGATGGAGGGAAATTCCGTTTCCTGCTAAGTAGCCAATCCTCTATCCGTGCTGATATGTTAGCACCAATGCCAGGAACTCTTAGCTTGTGCAATGACCTTTTATGTGGCATCTTATCAAATGCTTTTCAGAGCTCAAAAACAATACATCACCCATTTCCACTTTATCTACCCTGCTCATTAAATCCACAAAGATTTCTAATAAATCCATAAAGCATGATTTTCATTTCACAAAGCCATGTTGATTTTGACTAATAATACTATCTGTTCCTTAATAATGAAATCCAGCATTTTCCCAGTGACAGAGACCTTGACTAAGGTTTCCTGCTTTATGTTTCCCTCGTTTCTTGGACAAAAATGTTGTGTTTTCTGTTTTCCAGTTGAATGGAACCTTTCTAGGATCTAGGAAATTTGGAAGATTACAGCCAATGAACCCACATGAGCTGGTGTTTCAAATTTTCATACCTTAGGATGCATAATATGTGGAAAAATAGATTAGTTTATTATTATCTTTGCATTGAGATCCACAGTGTAATTAGGAGCCTGATTTGGGGTTGAAATCTTGGAATTTCCTCCCTGAAAGCACTGACGATGTACCTATATTCCAAGGACTGCTGTAATTCAAGAAGGCAGCTCACCACCATCTTTTCAAAGCAATTTGAGATGGGCGATTAATGTTGGCATACCTAGCAATGGCTATACCCAGTTAAAGATTTTTAAAAAGTAGCATTTGCCCACCAAATCTAGGGAAACCAGGCAGCAAACTGGAAAAGAGAGCTGGAGGTCCAGTAGGTGAGTGCTTTTTATAGCACAGTGCTGATGGTTTTTCCTAGCTGACACCTCCAGCAAACTGTTGGCTTCTCCAATGCTGAATGTAGCCAATCTCCTACATCCCAGGTAATGGCTACCCTAACATTGTCTTTGTGAGGGATCATTCCTAAAAGTTCCCAGTTATGGCTTCGTGCAGTTGGATTCACTACAATCCAGTCAGCCAGCCTGTCCATTTGTCCAACAGCTTAGGAAAAATGAAAAGAAAAATGATGATAATGAGGTCCTGAGATAACAAGGTGTAGAGCTGGATGAACACAGCAGGCCAAGCAGCATCAGAGGAGCAGGAAGGCTGACATTTCGGGCCTAGACCCTTCTTCAGAAATGGCTGCTCCTGCTCCTGCTCCTGCTCCTGCTCCTCTGATGCTGCTTGGCCTGCTACGTTCATCCAGCTCTACACCTTGTTATCTCAGATTCTCCAGCATCTGCAGTTCCTACTATTTCTATAATGAGGTCCTGTCTGTATTTAAATATCAAAGTCATTTTGTTGTCTCTTAAAATAGAAATAGACTTCATAAATGAAATCTATATTAAGGGAGCAAAGTGTAAAAACTGACCCAAGAGTATTATTCATAGAATCATACAGTACAGAAATACTCCTTCAGCCCATCAAGTCTGTACTGCCAAAAATATACTACTAACCTACAGTAGTTCTACTTTCCCACTCTAGGCCTATAAGCTTGAATGTTATGATACCTCAAATGCTCTATTTAAAGGCTGTGACTCTTCTTGTGCAACTACCCTTGCAGGCAGTGCGTTCCAGACCCCAACCCCACCCCCATCCTCTGGGTGAAAACATTTTCCCCTAAATCCCCTCTAAAACTCCTGCCTTCCACTTTAAAATTATGCCCCCCTTTATCGATCCTTCAAGTAAGGGGAACAGCTGCTTACCATTCACCCTGTCCATGCCCTTAAGAATATTATATACATCTATCAGGTCACCCCCAACCTTCCTTGCTCCAAAGAAAACAACCTGAACTTATCCAGCCTCTCTTCATAGCTGAAATGCTCCATCCCAGGCAACGTCCTGGTGAATTTCCTCTGCACCCCCTCCAGTGCAGTCACATCCTTCCTATTGTGTGCTGACTGGAACTGCACAAAGTTCTCAAGCTCTAGCCTAACCAAAGTTCTGTACAACTCCAACATGACCTCCCTGCTCTTATCAACTGTGCACAACTGATAAAGTCAAGTGTCCTGTATGCCTTCTTAACTACCCTTTAACCTGTCCTGCCACCTTAAGGGATCTGTGGACGAGTACCACAAGAGTCCTTTGTTCCTCTGAGCTTCCTCATGTCTTGCCATTCATTGAGTACCCTGTTGTCTTGTTCCTCCTTCCAAAGTGCATCTCCTCACATTTACAAGGGTTAAATTCCTTCTGCCATTGATCTGTCTGTCCATCTGACCATTCCGTTTATATCCTTTTGTAACCTAACAACTTCCTCCTCACTGTCAACCACCCAGCTAATCATTGTGTCATCCACAAATTTACTTATCATACTTTCCACGTTCTCACCTACATCCTTTATAAATATCACAAACAATAAGGGACTCAGTTCACTACCGCACACTGGGCTCCAGTGACACAAACAGCCCTCTATCACCACTTTTTGTCTCCTGTCACAAAGCCAATTTTTGATCTATTTTGCCAAGTTACCCTGGATCCTATTAGCTTTCACTTTCTTTATCAGTTGCCCATGTGGCCTTGTTGAAACCCATATAAACTATATCAACTGCCCTATCCTCATCCAAACACTTGGTTACCGCCTTGAAAATTCCACCAGTTTTCTTAGGTATGACCTCCCTCTGACAAAACCATGCTGACTATCTCCCTAAACTGCCTTTCTAAACTGAGAATAATTTTCTTCTTCACTATTTACTCCAATAGTTTCCCTACCACTGATGTTAGACTCAGCATTTGGTAATAAACTGAGACTGTAACATTTCTAATCATTACATTTCTGTCTGTTTTGTTGTGGTAGAGAAATGCAGAAATTGAGCGGAGGCAGAAGATAAAGGATCAAAAAGAGAAAGAAAAGCAAGAAAGGCTCAAAGAAAAGAAGAAAATGACAGAAAAGAATCCAGAATTGGCTGCTGAGCAAGAGGAAGAGGAAGAGGACGAGGAGGAGGAAGAAGAGGAGGAAGAGGAGCCACTCCCAGCGATATATATTCCTCCTGAACCAAATGCCGTATTATGTGGTTTCTACTCAAATCCGGGGTGTTTCTGGTTATCTGTGGTAAGTTCCAATAATCACAACAAAGTAATGTTCAAATAAATTCCTAAAATGTATAATGGTCATTAATTAAACATTCAGGTACTGAGAAAGGTCCTCCAGAGGATCCGGAGAAGCTTTACTAAAAATGGTGCCAAGAATAATGGGATTCTTTTATGTGGAGAGACCAGTGAAACACTGATAGTTCTTGGAGCAAAGAAGGTTATTGAGAAGTAAATTGAGATATTCAGATTGATGAGTAATTTTGATGGAGTATAAAAGGAGAAATTGTTTCCAATGGTTGAAGGGTTACTTGATCATATTATTCTTTAAAAAGAGTTGCTACTGTCATTAGAGCTAAATGGCCTCTTTCTCTACCATAAGATTCTATGACTCTATTTGCTACTTCTATGAAGACTGCCATTGTTTAATGTGTTTTAGTTACCTTGTGTATGCATTTGTTCTGAAATCTCTATGGTTAAAGCCCTGCAATTACTCCAGCAATTACCTCTGGGTTCTCCCTCTGTGGTGATGGAGGCTTGGAGTAAACCCCATTGTTGTGTGGAGAAAATAAGTTATCACTGGGCCTCCCTGGAAATTGTGGTGGTGGAGTGGACAACCGAGAAGAATTTGACAAAACCAAAGACCATCCATGGTGCATGGTTAAGTGGACACCACAGTTTAAAATGTCACACGCAAAGTGCATCACACTTCCAAATGATGCCACTCAATTGATTGACACATTTGACTGCAATCTATTAAGTATTTTATAATTTTATATTAAATATTATTCCTATCAGATGGAACTTGTTGCAGACAAACATAAATTACTTCATGAAGAAGCTCCATGAATATGTTCCCAATAATTGAGAAACGTCTGCCTTCCTGCTCCTATGATGCTGCTTGACCTGCTGTGTTCATCCAGCTCTACACCTTGTTATCTCTTATATTGAGAAAGACTGTTGATTTAAAAGTCCTGAGATAGTGAAGCAGTTCATTCCCCTGTAGTGCAAGTCCACGCAACCACTAACTCCAACAAGAAAGAATCTAACCATCTCTCCATCACTGAATTTCTCATAGTTACCTTTGACCAGAGGCTCAGCTGGACCTACCAGATTTCGAACTTGCCAAATTCCTGCACATGTGGTGGGAAGGCTGGTATTAAACCGGTGGGAAGGCTGGTATTAAACCAGTGGCAGGCAGACCTGAATGACAAGGAAATCTGTACAGGATGCTTATGTCCTCTTGGGGTGTGGAGGGATTCAAAGGCGAGCAGTATCTGCTCAAGGAACCTGGCATTGAGAAGGGGGAATTGTGGCCCAGTGAGAACCCCTTGCCCTTCCTGCTGAACTCCCTCCCTATAAATACCTCTCCCATGCCCCCCACCCTGTGAAACCTCTCTCGCCATCTCTTAATTAGGCCTGGATCACTTCATGATTCTGTTCTCCTGGTAGATATATTTCTCACATCACTTGATGGCTCTGCTGAGGAAAAGAGCTGCCATGCTCTGATTGTCTGGCAGTTCTTGGTAGGTAATATTTCTCATTCCTGGGGTCCTGATCTTATGGAAGGCTTGGCGATGACCTGGTCATTGCCAGATTGGTTCATAATTCAGCAGCCCTTCTCCAAAGAAGCAATATGTGTCTCTGGTCTGCTCCCCCCATATCAGTGATACAGTTTTCCCCATGCCACAGGACAAAATGTGGAAGGCAGCAGGTCAACAACTTCATATGATAATGAGGTGGAAAGACTACATGTAACAATGTGCAAAACATATGCAGCACAAAAATATCTCTGAAATAAAATTGAATACGTATTGTTCAGCAAGACCAAATTCATTACAATAATATACAGAACTTGCCTTTAGTTAGCACCTTTTGCATAGCAAAACATCCACGTCCTTTTCAGGTGTTATTTCAATGCTGGCTGCAGAGAAGGTTATGCTAGAATTTGTTGCTTAAAAATGTCAATGTCCTGGCAGTTGTTGAAGCTTCTGAGGAAGTTCTGATCTTCAGACCCTTCAGGAGTCCTGAGGAAGGGTCACCAGACCACAAATGTTAACTCTGAGTTTTTCTTCACAGATGCTGCTAGACCTGCTGAGCTTTTCCAGTAACTTCTGTTTTTGTTCCTGATTTACAGCATCTGTAGTTCTTTCGGTCTTCACAACTGGTCTGTAGCCATAACCTTAAGAAGTGTGCAATTGTTTATATATGCTTCACTTCAAACTGTTCTTCCTAACTTGTCACTGGATGACTTCTTAATCCAACACTGTAATACTGCAAAACTGTTGGGTGTACTTATCAAGACATATTTAAAATAGGACTTATACATCAGAAAGGAAGACACTGGTGGGAATAATCTGTAGGTCTCTGACAGTAGCTATACAGTGGGACAGAAAATGAATCAGGAGAAAAGAGGGATGTGTAACAAAGGCAGTACATAATCATGGGTGACTTTAACTTTCATGTAGATTGGGATGGTCAGACTGGCAGAGGAAGTCATGGGGAAGATTCATAGAGGTATTTACGCCAGTTTCTGAGAACAATATGTTGTGGATCCAACCAGGAACCAAGCTATTTTGGATTTGGTGATATGTCGTAAAGCAGGTTTAATTAATGATGTTAGAGCAAAAGGCTTGCTGGGAAACAATGACCATAACAGTAGAATTTAGCTTTCAGTTTGAGGGGTGGAGGGGATGGATCTTGGTTCTGAAGTAACTATGCTAAGTTTACGTAAAGATAATTACAAAAGAATGTGGGCAGAGGTGGCTGGAGCAGAATTGGAAAGGAGTTAGCATCAAAGACGGTTAAGGCACATTGGCTGACATTTAACAAAATAGCTAATGGTTCACAGCAAAGATATATTCCAGTGGGGAAGAAGGATTCTAGGAAGGGGATAAGTCAATCATGGTTAACCTGAGAAGTTAAGGATAGCGTGAAATTGAAGGAAAAATGATACAATGTGACAAAGACTAGTGGTAAGCCAGAACCGAAAAAAAGACAACCAGAAATAATAAAGAGGAGACAAACTATGAGGCTAAACTTGCAAGTAATATCAAGATGGGCAGCAATAACTTCTTTAAATGTATAAAAAGAAAGAAAGAGTCCGAAATGAACATCAGTCTCATAGAGAATGAGGCTGGAAAATAATAATGGGGAAACCAGGAAATGCTTTACGAGTTGAATAAATACTTTGCATCTGTCTTCATGGTAGAAGACATGAGTAACATCCCAAAATTATTAACTAATTAAGGGGTAAAAGAAAGCGAGGAAATCAATACAATAAATATCACCAGGGAGAAAAAAAAAATTAGGGGAACTGATGGGACTATACACCAATACAACCCCTGGATCTGATAGGATGGATCAGAGATATTAAAAGGAGTGGCTAGAGAGATAGTGGATGTACTTCTAAGAATCATTAGATTCTGGAAAAGTCCCAGAGGACTGGAAAACTGCCAATGTACCATTATTTAAAACTGGAAGGAGAAAAATTGCAGGTACCTGGAGGCCAGTTAGCTTAATCTGTAATTGGGAAAATTTTCATATCTATTTTAAAAAATGTAATAGTAGAGCATTTAGGAATACACAATATGGTCAAGCAGAGTCAATATGGCTTCATGAAGGGGAAATCATATCTAATAATTTTACTGGAATTCTTTGAGGCAGTAACAAACTGGATAGATAAAGGGAAGCAGTGGATGTAATACAATACAGAGTTGTATTATTTATTTTTACTTTGAATGAGAGCTGTTAGCAATGTTGTTCAGAAGGGTGCCTGGGATAATCATTTACTAGGGTCAGTCTCCTGTGATGCTACACTGAAAGCTGCTGTCATGGTGGCCACAGTGAAGTACAGTCAGTTAAAAACTGCCAAATTGTCCATACATTTGACAGGAATATAAGATTGTTGCAGCAGACAAAACAGCAGCAGCAACAATGCTGTACAGTCCCAGGTTGTAGTCACAGATATTCCTCCACCTTCTTATTCTTTCTCATGGCCATCTGGAGGAAGACTTCAAGTATACTCCACATTGTTCCAATGCTGATTGAAAAGAGCCCTCAACTGGGAGAAGCAAATAATGCACTCCTTTACCAGTCGTCTGCATTTGAATGTTTCAAACTTGTTTGAGTTTTTACTCCTGTAAACCTGTAAAAATTTCTGCATTTGCCACTGTTCCAATGACTTGGATGGGGATAATGAATGCACTATAGCCAGTTTTGAGGAGGACAGAAGAAAATGTGGGAGGCCAGTGATGAGAATGACGCAAGGAGTTTACAGAAGGATATAGAAAAGTTAAAAGTGGGTGGGCAAAAACTTGAAAGTTATGCACTTGGCAGGAAGAATAGAGGAGCAGAATATCATTTAAATGCAAAAAAGCTGCAGAAAGCTACAACATAGAACATAGGACAGGACAGCACAGTACAGGCCCTTCTGTCCACGATGTTGTGCCAACCTATTATCCTACTAACATCAATCTACCCTGCATACCCTACATTTTACTATCTCCATGTGCCTATCCAAGAGTCGCTTAAAAGTCTCTAAAGTATTTGACTCCACTACCACTGCCGGCAGCGCATTCCACACACCCACCACTCTCTATGTGAAGAACCTACCTCTGACATCTCCCCTATACCTTCCTCCAATTACCTTAAAATTATGCCCCCTCGTAATAGTCATTTCCGCCCTGGGAAAAAGTCTCTGGCTATCCACTCTATCTATGCCTCTCATCATCTTGTAAACCTCTATCAAGTCACCTCTCATCCATCTTCGCTCCAATGAAAAAAGCCGTAGCTCCCTCAACCTTTTCTCATAAGACCTGCCCTCCAGTCCAGGCAGCATCCTAGTAAATCTCGTCTGCACCCTCTCTAAATCTTCCACATCTTTCCTATAATGAGGTGACCAGAACTGAATACAATAACAGAGAGATTTGGGAGACCTAATTAAGTCATAAAAACCCAGCAAGTTCAATGGGTAATAGGGAAGAGAAATGGAATCTTGGCCTTTATTTTAATAAGAATGGT